CCTTCAAGTACTTGATGTTTTTATATTTGTGAGCAAATTTGTGCAAGTGATTAGCATTATAAATTTCTACAAAGATCTGATATCATGAATTCTACTTACTATCACTTTTTACATTCATTTTAAAATATTTTCTGCCAATACAAAAATACTTGAATTCTGCTACAGTTTTTCTCTTTAACTGCATTAATAATCTTTTCTTTAAAGTTATAGAAAATTAAAAAAATATTGTTACGCAGATAAAATGTAAACAATTTCTTTGAGTGACTATCAAAACAACATAATGGAATGAAAATAATCATTAAACAAAAAAAAAACTTTGACAAATTAAGATTATTTTTTACTCTTGTAAAATTCATGTTTTTTTCTCAGCGTGCAAACACAAAGCTATAAAATAATTTTGAAGTACCTTCTAACAATTTCAGCATATGCAAAAATCTAGTTTGATTATATTGAAGGAACCTCACAACTATTTTTTTTTTAAATTTGAATAATTTTAAATTTAACTTAACATATTAAACGATAACTACAATAATCCTTTTGATTAATTCCTTGTAATTAGATCTTTGAAAAATTTAAGTAGTAATAATATGGACATGCATAGAGATATTTTTATATGGAAACTAAGTTTTAGGTCTATATGTTATATCAGAAAGTAAAGCTTGATCCTCCATTATTATTTATGAATGTATCTTCATATATATTGTAGGAATTTGCCTATTTATCTCATGTCATTAGATTTCTGATGTATATAAAAGGCTCTTATTCCAAATGTTATGTAACTTCACAGGCCTCATTTATTTAATTTCAAGTCTGTGAGTGAGAAACTAAATCAGACCTGTTGATAACATTTTTTTCTTTGAGGAATCACTACTCTTGCAAAAAGGCATTCTTAGGGAATTTGCAGTAGCTTATATTATTTACAGACCTTGAAATATTTCTATTTAAAATACTTATAAGAAACATGATATCGTTGACAAATATATTTATGTTGAGCATAAACAACTTAAAAACAAAGTTACTGCTTGCTCGTCTAGTGTGTGTGTATATATATGTGTGTGTGTGTGCGTAAATACATATACAAACATACACACTATAATATTCATGTTGATGCATAAATTATGAATTTAATGCATATGTGTCCATAGTTATGTTACTTTGTTTCATGAAATGTAGGAAACATTTCCTCATTTGACTTCAAACAAATACAATTCCATTGTATGCTTTCTCATCTTATTCTAAGTTCTTGCATAAAAAATCTAGCACACTCAAAGAACTTGAAATAGATGAACATTCTTTAAACATTTCTTTAATGATGCTTCATTCATATTGTTACATTGCTTCCAACTTGTAGAGGATTTCTATTGAATGTATTTTTCATGCATTCTACTCTATTACAAAATAGTGCAAGAAGACTTTGAGTTATTAAAATTTGCAACTGATGAAGTTAATCAATGTTAATATCTAATAAATGACATGCCTTAAAACTGTTTCAGTTACATCAAAAAATGTCTGATTTTATTCAACTAACATTATTGTAAACATTATATTTTATGATTACCACAATTTTGGTTTTTCTTTTTTTATGTTTGTGCAAAACTTCACAGCACTCTTTTTTAATAACCAGTTGAAAACTGATTTTCATTTTGTGGATACTTTTGCCTACACCTTGTTTTTTGTTTTAATTTATTAAATGTTATTGATTTTGTTGCTTTATTTTTTGATTTTATAGTTTTTACTTTCATATCTATATGTGGTACAGTGAGAAAATTTGTGAGTGATAGATTTGTATAGACATCTGAAAAAATTAACATTTTTAAATTGATGTGCATGTTTGTTGGGTTAAAGATAAGTTTGTTTTTAATGTTTTATGCTAAAAATAGTTTGCTTTTCTTTTAATACGTATTGCTTGCATAATTAATAAATCAAGTTTGTACAGTGTCATACTTATGAATAAATTTACTGGCAATTTTACTTCAATTTCTCCTTTTATATGATTGTCATTATTGTAGCACAAAACCCAATAAAGAGAAAACCTGTAGATATGTAAGGAATAAAGATAGATTTTGGTAGTTGCTTTACTGCAAGGGATGGTGCTTGAGCAGGAACAATGACAATAATAATAATGATGATAGCCTATTGCATAAAATTTGCAATTTTGATACAGATACTCTGTTAATGGTCTTTTATTAGTAGTAGATTCCTAATGTAGACAGTAGGTGTTAGTGAGAAATTAAAAAAGGGGAGTAATAGAGGCTTGTGAAAATACCCAACCCCTAAAAGTAGATTTTAGCATTATCTTTTCTAAAGTGATAAATTTGTTACTGTTTTGTTTCCTCTACTCCTTAGCAGTTCAGTTATTGCATATGCATGTGTATATGTTTCTATCTGATTGAATGGATACGTCTTTAAGTTATAGTCACCTTCAAAGACCCTAGAATTGGCAAATATCACATTTAGGCTGCAGCAGCAACAGCAAAAAACAAAAAAACAGAATTGGAAAAGAAAATCCTCCAACCACCCATCTGCCCGCTAATGATAGCATAATCAATTTCTGTAAAACAAGTTTGTGTTTCTGTTGAATCCTCTGCAGCTGTTCTCTTATCATGCTATAGATTTTTTTTCACTTCTTTTTTTTCTTAAATCTTTCCTCTGAACTATACTAACTCCACCTACTGTCACAAGAATGTTTTCTCCTCATCCTCATTTTCCACTTGTAGCTTCATTATGCTGAAAAAATACATTACAGTTCCACCTGAACATTTTTTCAGTGTAATTTTATTTTGTTTTATTCCTAGTTATTTTTTATTTTTACATTTTCTCTTGGCAAATGAGAAATTCTCTTTAGTTTTAATAATACAAGAAATTAAATCAATTAAAATATTTTGATAAAGAGTTTTCCTATATAGATATTTTTTTTGGCTTACAATTGATTTTCAGTTTTCTTCATTTTTTAAAAGTATTTCATCCTTTTAATATAAAATTAATCAAACTTTGTTAGCTTTTAATTTTAAATTTATTCACAATATCTAGTTTACCTAGTTGACATTGATGGATTTTGTGTAAACAGAGCATACACTCATCTGTGTAAAACCCTTACATACATATAGGTATGCTTGTCAAAGATATTATGATCCTTTCATTAATGGCATTGTCCTTTTGTGGAAAACTAGTAATTCTCTTGTACTTCAAGTCATTTACATATCATTGCTTTTAATATAATAAAAAAATATTTACACATTTCTTTATTTTACTTGGTTGATTCAAGAGGCTTGTGGAAATGTTTTAACTAATTGCATCTATAAGTTATTAAAAAATATCCCACCAAGATGCAAAAGAACACCTAAAGGAAATCCTTTTTATTCTCTTAAAATTAAACATTTTCATTCTAATTTTACTTTACAATAAATAAAAGAAATTAACAGAAATTTATCTTTACCAGCAATGTTTAGTGTTAAGTGATTACCTTAACCTTTAAGTAAACTGTATGCATACAGTCTGTTTCATGCTTGAACACAATATCAGGCCATTGGATTGCATTCAAGCATAAAACGTGTCACTGCTCAGTGTTGACCTCAATGCCCACTTTTATACTTACATACACTCCATCCCTGATATTAAGCACTCTTACCCATAAATATAGCATACCTGAAAAGTATATTTTTATCATATATAAATTAAATATATATAATATTAAAAAAAAGGTTGATCAGCATATTTCTGGAGTATTACACTTTTATGACAAACTGTCTTTGTAATTAAAATTCTCACTACTAAAAGAGAGACTAGTAAGAGCAACAAATAAGATTAAACTTATTTTTCCTGAGTTTTGTAGATATGGTAGGGAGCTTGATAGAAAAGTTGAATTTATTTACAGAAATTATATATTTCTTCTTTATGATTTTTGTAAATAAATTAAATTATGCTATCAATCCCCCTAGAAAGTGGATATTATATATCTGTGAAACTTTGAGTCAGAAAAAGGTAAGTAGTAGAACATTTAATTTTATTTGTTTGTGTTTTGTTATATATATATATATATATATATATATATATATATATATATATATATATATCAGTATCTGCTGTATATGAGTTTATTATATAATTATATATCTCTAAGCCTGTGTTATTTGATATGCCTATTTGGGTAAATGTCTTGCTTTTTTAAAGTATTAATTCTTCAAGCATTTATAAATGTTGATTTAACATGTTTACTCTCTTCTTTGGAACCAAAGCTAAACAAAATCCACCCAATGTTACTTTTATTAGTGATTTTTTTTTTATATTCTTACAATTTATGCACACTGATCTGAATTAATTTTCAAAAATTGTACTTAATTCTAAGCTTTTAGTTCATTTTCCTAATATTGTCATATTATTTTGGTATTTAAATATCTAGTTTGCTTTCAGTTGTATAACTTCTCATGTATTCAATAGAAGTTCTTTACCATTAATTTTCAAATACTGGCTAAACATTCTTCTGTCTATGTTTTTTTTTCTTATTCCTACAAAATTGTTTTCTCTTGAGTGTGAAACTATATGTTCAACAGGAAAAGAAATAAATTGTTTTGTTAAAATACAAAGTTATTAATTTGTTTAACTTGAATACAAAACAAGCAAATGACATATTTTTGAAAAATATCCATTGATAATATATAAAAGAAAATACATAATACATTCATATATTTCTATATTATTCTTTGTTTATGTTTTTTTTTTGTTTTTTGGGGGGTGAGGGTGTTTAGCATATCAATCTCTATTGGTTCTTTAATGCTGAAAGGTAAATATTTTGTATACAATTTTTTCTTGCAATAATAATGGTTTTAGCAATACACGTCTTACTAATTAACCCATAGCTGGGGGAAGAAGAGGTGAAATCATACCTGACCCAAGGGTGTTTATACATAAGCAAGTATAAAAAACCAAGCTGGAATTGGAACTCGGCTCTCTGATTAACAGTTCCAAGCCCTTATCCATTACACTACTTGCACATCCAAGCTTACAGAATCTGTTATTCCCAATTGGCCACCCATCCAAGTACTGATCAAGCTCAACATTGCTTAACTTTGGAGACTGTATGAGAACTGGTGTTTCAATGTGATGTGGCTGTAAGCCCTTTGTTTATCCATAGCTATGTATATATGTATACATCTACATGTAAGTATCAAAGCTTATTTTCATTATTTTACTAACTATATGCAAGGAAACTGTTGTGCTACAGGCTGATTCCATATAAACAAAAATGTGTAATATTAAATGACTTTGCTATTAAATTACTGGAGGAAACTAGTAAAAAAAATACCAATAACAAAAAAAAGAAAGATAATTATATTTTGCTATTTAAACTGCAAGTAAATATTCCAAAATCCTTCTTTTATCAAACAGTTCTACTTTATATGCAT